GAGACTAAAGGATAATTTGAAAAAAGGGAATTTCCATAAAATTCAATAGTTTAATCTCGACGGGAATAGTTATTAATTAGTTTCTGCTTTTATTCTCCCCGTCCATCCATCTAACGAATCTGTTGGTTTTAAACTGCTTTAAACGTCTGTTCGACACGATCAAAGACAAAACATTACTAATTGTTTCTAGAAAAGAGAAAAAATGAAATTGCAATGGTCAGTTGCAATATTATTCATATTCTCATTTGGAAAGAAAAAAAAATTTTGTGATTAAATTCATAAGCAATTTTGATAATTACTGGTGTATTATGCAGATTTTGAATTGATGCATCTTGGTCTCGTGTTGTAGAAACATTTAAAATGGCTGAATAAAATTAATTATTTGGTTAAAATGATCAAAGATAACAGCTTGTCCATTTTCATTGGTCACTAAAAAGCTATCTAACAAAATATGGTGAAAATAAAATTATGACAATGATAAAAGAATTTAACTTTAAACTTTTTTTTCATTTTCTAGCTGTATCCTAAATTTGAAATAAATAAACATATCATGAGAGAACAGTGAAAGAAATAAATCGCAAATTATAATATTGATGAGAAAAAAAAAGCAAAGAGATGAAAATAAACAAACGAAAAATTAAATGAAATGGGAATGAAGTTGAAACAGAGACCCAATAAACAATTACAATACAGTTAACTATTTCTATTTTCGCAACAGCTAAAACAATTTTTTTCTATCAATATTTAAATAACTGAAATTAATCACAGAATAGTTTCAGCCTTTTATCAAATTCATTCACTTTCACTTCATCAAATAAAAGGAAAACAAAATTTCAAATTAAAAAATTTAAAACTTTTGGAGAAAAAGAGTTCATCTGTAAGTATTATCTTAAATTAGTTATAAAAATTTTCTCATTAAATAATCCGTAATTTTCTATTGCATAAATATGTATCATTCGTTCATTTCTTTCATACTCACTGATTTAATTAACTACTCTGTAATGTAAGGAGATTACTGTATTACTGATAACAATAGCAAAAACAAAATCAAAAAAAAGAATTGAAAGGAAAATTTACCGCATCGATGTACTTCACTATCATCGTCATCATCAATATCATTATCAATGATATCATCGGTGGGATATGTATGAGTTGTTGAAACAATGGGATCACAATCCTCATTTCTTTCCATTATTTCATCAAATTCAATTAATTTGCTATCATTATTATTTTTGTATAATTGAGGATGTAATTCATTGTGTCCGAAGTCATCAAAACTTTCGCTCTTCTTCAAGCGCATTGTCATATTCAATGTTGGATGACTGGAAAAATTAGTATAATACAAGTAATTACAACCATTTCAAATTATTTAATCCAAATTTATGTAATTTATAAATTCTTTTCGTCGGTGTACAATAATTTTTTCCATACAAACATCTATTTTTCATTTTTTTTTTTTTGTAAAATTTGAATCATTTCATATAGCTTTTTAGATAGGGAATGGGTTAGAGACATGGTAATTAGCAATTCGATCAAATTAACGTTTGAAATGTAAATAATTTGGTAGCTCGATAAATATTAAATTGCATAAGTTCGAATAAAATTTAATATATTTTAAAGTTATATTTTTCAAGTAATGTGAATTTTTGTGAGGATTTCGTACAATTTTAATGGAATAAAATGTAATACAAAATTTAAGTATGTAGCAATTTTTTTTTCTCCCATGTAATAAACTATTTTTCATTTCTTTCTCTTTTTTTGTCAACAGAAAGAAAGGATTGAACAAAAGATAAAATAAAATTTTTTGAAACAACAACACTTGTCGTTCCTTCCGTTTTCGCAGGAGATGAAACGGACTTTTTGTTGATTAAAAAAAATTTTTTTTTTGCAGATTTTAAATAAAGCTTTTTTTTTGTAGATTTTAAATAAAAACCAATATACTGTGAAGAGTACATTGGATAAAACAAAATATGGCCCTACGAATTTTTTCATTCCATAAAACTCTAAATTTTACACAATAAAAAGCATAACAATGAATTTAGATATTTCGCAACTTGAAAAAAAGCAAATTTGAAAATTTATTTTGATTTTGTATGTATCAAATAATTTGGCTGGGAATTTTATAGAGACAAAATTATTAATTTTTTGAAATAGGAATTTAGACACGGATGACAATTCATCAACTGGAAATATAAATTAAACGAATACTAGAATTTAAAATAAAATGATTGATTTAAATGAATGAAAAAGAAAAACCTTTGATCAGCATCAAAGTTATCGAAACGATTCTGCTGTGATAAATCACTAACCGGAAAACGATGATCCGTCGTAATTTGTTCTGAAAAATAATTTTTAGAAATTATATATGAAATATATTGAGCTGATATGAAGAAATACAGAGAAAGTAAAATGTGTCTGTCAAAAAAAATCGGTTTTTTTCTTTTCAAAATAACCGCTGCTTTTCAATGGTTATTTTTTGCTTTCTCTTCATAATTTTATTAAAACTTTATCTCATTACTCATTAATTAAACTATTGAAATGTGGAACTCATTAAATAAGCCAAAGAAAAAGTAAATTGCATTTATTAAATATTTTCTAAATTAAAAGTAGAAAATTAAAATTTAACTTAATTTGTCATTAATAAAATTATATTTGCATCCCAATCTTATTTAATATGAAAGATTTAATTTTGTGCTAAAAAAATATATATAACTTACTTGAATCAGACCTTCGACGAAATGTTACCATATATTTCAACATATCATATCATATCAGTAAAATGTGATTAACAGATATTTACAGTCAATTAATCGGTCGGAAAATTCTAACCCATAAAATATTACAGAAACAAAATGGAAAAGACGTGAAATTTATTTTTTCTAATTCTCTCATATCAAATAAGAGATTATTAATGCCACTGGTAAAATTATATAAAATGAAAATGATTAAAGAACATTCCCATTTAACGGATATTGAAATTATTTGTCAAATGATCTTTTCTCTTCGAAAAATGCAAACTATAGGCGATGAAAAAACTTCTTCATCGTTTTAACGATCAAATGAAATGATGAAAGAAAAGAAGGAAATTTAAATGGTGTAATAATTTAAATAGTTAAAATTTAAAGGTTAATAATTTTAGAAAACAATTATAGGTCAATTTTTATTCATAAGAAGAAAGTGTTTAAATAAAACACTTGGACAGAGGACAATGGATATTTATGGACAGAGAATAGTGGATACTATGGGCTAAAATGTGAAAAATGGAATACGCTTCGTTCAAAAATTTTCTTTTTTTTCTGCTAAAAAGGAAGAATGACCTTCTACTGATTTAATGCTCAATGATAGAAGTGAAGTAATTGGATAGTAAAGGATGTGAAAAAAAAAGGCTTTTTTTTATTGGATCATTTTATTGATTTAAATTGTAATAATTCGCTATAAGAAGAGAGAAACTGCTTAAACGAAACAATTCTTTTCTTTTTTTTTAAATTGAATTTATCTACGAGGACATTAATGTTTCAATGTAAAAAATAGAATCCATCCATGCAATTACCTTCTTTTTAATTTTTTTTTTAAGAAAAAAGGAAAAAAATACATCCATATTATCATAAAATTACTCTAAAGAAGTATGTTTATTAAAAAAGTTTTCATTAATGTTTAAATAATTATTTAAATTAGCTTATATATTATGCAATAAAGCTTAAATTAATAATGATATTGGCTGTCTGCATAATAAGCACATTTATTATCAATTAGAATTTTAATAAAACAAAAGCGATAAATATGTAGCCAAAATTATATTAATCGACAGCTATAAGCTATTAAATTCAAATGATAAGATTATCAAAGTGAACATAATTAATGTCTGATATTTATATCCTACAGGATTTTGTCAACTCAACAATATTATAAATGTTTCAGAAATAAACTGTTAAAATAATATCCTGCAGTTATGAAATATATTTGACCTTATTTTCATCGGGAAAATCTTATCTTAATAGGAAAAAATTTTTAAAAGATTTAAAAATCTTTTGTTTAAAAGAAAATTTTTAATTGAAAAAATTTTTTTCTTTCTCTCTGTCTCAAAAACTGTTTCTCATCAATAAAAATTGTTTACCAAATGCTTTTGTTATTGGTTGTAAAATACTTTTGATAATGGTACGAAGTGTTTCGACATCATTTTACCTAACTGGTTTTCCATCATAATAATTCCTCCGTCTTTTTCTGGGATAAAATGATGCAAGAAAGATTTATGTCTAATTAGGGTTAATTAAAGAAATAAGCGCAGCGTAAAAAAAAATCTGCTAATGATAGGTATTAATGTGATTCATAATGTTAATAAATATAATTATGGAGTGAATTATGCAATAATTGATAATAATAATAAATAATAATGATAATAATAGTAATAATGATAAAATAATAGTTAATGATGATAATAGTGATAATGATAAAACAATAGTAATAACAATAATAAACAGTAATGGTAATAACAGTAATAATGACAAAATAATAATAATAGTAATAAATAATAATAATAAGATGACAGCTTAATTGCTATACGAATGATAGTACATTTCAAGTTCAGAAATGAAATAAAGACGAGAAATGCTTCTAAGAGCTATCTTTCATAAATAAGTCTTAGAGGCATTTCTTATATTATCGTTAGTTCTCGACCAAATGATTCACTTTGCTTTTTATTGTCATTTTAAATGTGTTTATATAGTTTGTTGCCCAATTTGAATGATTTCGGTATTCGAGATATCACTGAGAATTTTTTCTGCTAATGCAAAGAAAACGGTGTAAAACATTGATCAAATCGTCTATATTGCCATGGAAAATGCAATTACGAAATGGCTCTTAAAAGGTGTAACACAGCGTATCTGAAAGGTGTTAATGATGCATTAACGAAACTTTGGAATATGAGGAGAAGGAATGAAAAGGAAAAAAAAAAGGGAAGGAAATTAAAATTCTGTAGTCATTCAATTTTTATCAAGAAAAAAACACAGGTAAATTATTTGAAATAATTTGTCTAAAAATAAAATATATGGTGCTTAAAATAGATATATTATTTTAATTTGCAAAGATCATAATGAAATATGAAAAATAAGATTAACAATAAAATGATTAAAGAAATGGGAAAATTAAAAACGTATTAAACAAATCAGGAGCATTATTCTTTTCCTACTAACTGAATATTTTTTTGTTTTATTTTCAACTTTGTAACATTTAAATTATTTTTGATAAATAATTCTACAATTTTTTCGTTGGATCACTTATATTTGATATAAATTATCACTGTTAATTTAATTCTATCTTTGCAGGTAAATGCTTTTTCTTTTTTCATTTAAAAATGACTATGAAAATGTTGGAGAAAGAATGAACAGAAAAGAAGTATAATTTTGTGACAATTAAAAATGATTGTATTTATTTTACATTTATAAAGCCGTCTTTCCATTCCACGCAATCATTTTTCTTATTGCACATTAACAACTGGTTTATTCAAAAAAAAGAAAGAAAGAAAAAGAAAACATACTGAAAAATTTTTCTTAGCAGCAGCTATGAAAAGTTAAAAATGAATGAATGAATGAATGGAATTGGATGTTGTTTGATTTTTGCATTAATGAGAATAAATTTCAATCAATTATCAGCAAGATTTATTCATGTTTTTTTTTGAAAAAAGTCATAAAAATTGAGAGAGAAACCAGAAAAAATTTTAAAGCATGTAAATAATAATGATAAATTTTTATGGAAAGAAAAAAAAGAATGTAATCAAAATTTTAGAAAAAATATTTCAATCACAGATAATTTAAATGCATCATGTAAAATTTCATCACTCTTAGATAACAAATTCGAAAATCTTATCGAGCAAATTATTTATTCAGGAATTATCAAATGCATAAAGCTATCAAACAGAATCAACGATATGTACATGTTAGTGATAAAATCATAAGTAACAATTAAAAATTGATGAAATTTTATCATTTCATTTCAATTTTTTATTGCATTCCTTTATTCATTTTCATTTTTACTATTCCTTCTGTTTTGCATTTTAGTATTATTTTAAATTATATAAATTTCATCTTTCAGAAATGTTTCCAAAAAATTGAACTAATCTATTTTTAATTTCAGCCTTCAAGATTAACTTCAACTGATAATTTAATAGCTTAAAAATCTTTCTTTTTTAAATTCGGAGCAAATCTAATGGAGTATAAAATTATAGAAATTTGATAAGTTTTTTTTTCTTCTAACAAATGCTAACTTGTTTTGACTTTTGAAAAATTCATCAATTTTAGAGTAATTAAATCAAATTTCACTTTTCTCAAAGGTAAATTATATGACAGAATGAATCTCATTGCATGTTATTCATCCTTTCCAAAAATACAACAAAATTCTGCATCTATAAATTTTGCTTTTCTTCCTTTCTTTTTTAATTTCACATTCTCAATTTCATTACTCAAAGATAAATTATTCGATGATTCAGTCAATCAAACTTATTAAAATAAGTTATCAATTACTAATAAAAAAATTAGGTTTTTTTCTGTTCTTTACTGACAGATTTACTTCCATGCTATTTAAATTGTAATCTTATTGCTTATCTTTGGTTTTTACCAATCTTAGCATACTGCATAAGGTACATTAGTCTAAAATACATCCTTTACAAAGCAAACTTTGCAAAGCATATGCAAATTTTTAATTTAGTATTCAACCTATAAATTAGACTATAAGAAAAAAAATAAATGTTCTTATGGCTTAGATAATATTTCAGAAAAATTTCGTATTAATTACAATGAATTCGGTATTTTCAAATCTGTTTTTCTGATTTAAAAAAAGAAAATCTTAAAAAAAAAACTAACCGTTGAAAATTGTTCGTTCAACCGGAATGACAAAATCAGGTGGTCCAGAAGGATTTGTTGTTGAAAACCGAGTAAAATTTTCAGAAGTACAAGGAAATTGTAGTGGAACTGTTGCTGTTTGAACTATTTCTGCAGGTATTTTCATTGATTCGCTTACCGAATCACCATAAAATTTATCCGTTCTATAAATTGTTAAAAATTTTTGATAATTTCCTGTATCAATAACTTGGAAAAATGAATAATTTAAATTTGATTGAAATTATTAAAAATGTAAAATAGGAAAAAAAAATTCATTTCATAGAAATCTTATTGCTTTCTTTGACTGTTTTACATGATGCTATTTTACGGAATAAAATGAAGAATCGAAATTAAATAAAATCGGTTAATCTTTTTGATAATTTGCTCATAACATGAACAAAAAATTGTTGAAAATAGCAGAAAGAAAAGGTGTATATCGTAAAAATGGCACGACATTTGTGCTAATAAATTCATCAGTAAGTCATAAAAAAGCATATCGCTACAATAAAATCGATTTGCTTGTAATATTTTATAACCGGAATGGGAAAAGATATGCATTAATATATTCTTCGTTTTATCTTATCTCAAATAAATGCTCAAAAATGAATCTAAACTTTTTTCAAAAGTATTTTCAATTAATTGAGCATTATGGAAACTGTTTTGAAATTAAACACAGCACGGATTTATCATATCAGATACTTGCATTAAAGAATTTCATATCAAAAATTCAATTCCCGTCTAAAACAGATCCTTTTCTCACATTATTCATATTCTTTTACTGCTTATCTCTCCTTAATCTTTGATTTCAGAGAAAAAAAGGACCAAAGCTAGAATTTTTTAAAAGAATTTAATCGAACAAATTGTTTTTTTTTTAAA